AAGTATGGGAAAGCACCAACAGCCAACCTGCCTCTCTCTGCTCCCTATCTTCGACTGACCCACAAGTGCCTACGGGTGAGGGGTGTTTGAAATCCTGCTATGGTCAGCAGCAATATGAATAACAGTGATTCACACAGACGGTTGGTAGTGAGTCATCTACTGGTACACTGGTTACTGGTAATGGTCCCTAGGAACTGGTCTACTACTGAGACTGTTGTGGTGATGGTGGTGTTTGATGGTACCTGGGGTGGTGGTGCGGTTGGGGGTGGTACTGGTGATGGTGCAGGTTGTGTTACTGGTGGTGTTGGTACTGGTACTGGGGGTGATACTCTTGGTACTGGTGGTGATACTAGTGGTACTGGCGGTGGTACTAGTGATACTGGTGGTGGTACTCGTGATACTGGTGGTGTTACTGGTGATGGTATTAGTGATACTGGTGGTGGTACTAGTGATACTGGTAGTGGTACTAGTGGTGGTACTGGTGGTGGTACTAGTGATACTGGTGGTACTAGTGATACTGGTGGTGGTAATAGTGATATTGGTAGTGGTACTGGTGGTGGTAGTAGCGATACTGGTAGTGAGATTGGTGGTACTAGTGATACTGGTGGTGGTAATAGTACTGGTGGTGGTGCTAGTGATACTGGTGGTACTACTAGTGGTACTTGTGGTGGTATTAGTGATACTGGTGGTGGTACTAGTGATGCTGGTACTGGTAATGGTACTAGTGATACTGGTGGTGGTACTAGTGATACTGGTAGTGGTGCTGGTGGTGGTGGTACTAGTGGCACTGGTGGTAGTACTAGTGATACTGGTGGCCAGGCTTCTAGTGACTACATGATTCAGTTTCAAATAGCATTCCAGATTTTCCATTACAATTTCTTGATCAGAAATATATTAGAATTACACTTGATATCTTGTTTTAAATTCTTTTAAATTACCTCACATTTTACTAATGTAGAAATCATTATTGAAATATTCGTAATAATAAGCAGTCATTTTTCTTCATATTTTGTATTTAAATACAAGAACTGGAACAAGACACGAAAATGACATTATTCACACTTACAATCAAGAGTCAAACAGTTGAAGAACATGTGCGTAATATTTCTGATACTAAACCAACCAGTGATCCAGCGAGATTACACATAACTAAATAAATTTCGTTTCACATAATGTACTTTACTGTGTTAGATTTAATTAAGACTTAATGTTTAATAATAATGTTTATTTCTACAAGTACATGTACAAGGTATACAGTCCTAGCTGACATCAATGATATACTACCATATAGAAAGCCGCTTGTTATGCTGAACATTTCCAGCAAATTAGGTCAGTTTTGTACCAGAATGCGACCCACACCAGTCCACTAGCACCCAGGTGCCCATTTTACTGATAAGTGAACATGGACAGCAGTTATCTTAAGGAAACACGTCCTAATGTTTCCAGCCGTACCGGGGATCGAACCACGAGCCTCACTGTGTGAGCTGAGTTCGCTAGCAATCGAGCTTCAGAACTCCTTCGTTTAATAGTATTCTTTTGATTCTCGACATTTTAAACACCATAACTTCAGTTAAGTGTTGCAGAAAGTCTCAAATGAGGTATTTCACAACGTACACAATATTGAGACTGATACTGACATAAATGTTGCACAACAACTTAAATAAGTTACATCCATTTTCACACAGTACAGTTCGTTAAGATTCAAGCATGGAGGACACTCATAAATTTCTAGTTTGCACTTAATCAGAAGTTAACGGAGGGTTGCAGGTCCTAACTTCTCCCTACTGGGAGTGAAAAAAAATTACTTCTCTGCTAAATACTCTGACGGTGTTGGTTTCTTCTCGGGCAGCAACACTGGAGGAGAATCCCTCCCGTAGACCAAGGGATCTTCGTCAAACAAAACGCAGTCTTCTGATATATACTTTTTTTCATTTCTTTTCTAGTTCATGAGTGTATGATTTCTGTTTACTTTCAGTTCCAGAGGGTATGAACGGAAACAGGCAGGGCGTCTTAAGTGACGATTCATCCTGTTGGACCCCAGTTTTATGGTGTAATTCAAGCAGGTATAAGCTTGACAATAATCAGTCAGTTGCAATTACTTCTTAGGCTAAATGTTTAATTACAGTTACTAAAAATGTAATTAATTACATAGAGCTTCAATTACAATTACTCCAAGCGTGGTAGCGGTGGCGTAGATGTACTATAATAATAATAATGGAGTGTTGTGGACACCTTGCTCACCATGCGAGGAGGCAGGCAAGCAAATGCTGCCTTCGTGTCCCCGACCCTCGACTACCCCTCCCTCTCCTCCAGGGGCAGGAAGGTAGGGAGGAGAAGCCTGGGAAGGAGGACAGGGAGGGTTGAGGCACGAGCAGGAGGTGAAGGGCAGACAGGGAAGGATGGCTGGCAGTAAGGGAGGGAGGAAGGGCAGGCAGGGAGGGTGGGAGGAAGGGAGTGCGGAAGGGTTGTTGAGACACGAGCAGGGAGAGAAGGCGCGCGGTGGCGGGCGGCAGTAGTAGTGTTGTGAGTGAGGGAGGGTGTGAGACAACGTTGTGTGTGCGTGTGCTATGGTCCTGGGTTACCACAACAGTGTCCTGCTTTTTCACACCCACCAGGTGTGAACCTTGTCTTACTGTACTGTGCCTGCTGCTCCTTTACACAACGTGTGGTGGTGGTAGTGATCACTGACACAGTGTACCTCGTGTGTGTGTGTTGTTATGGTGTAGGTCATGCTCCCTGGCACGCTAGCACACTATATAATAAACCTGTGTGTGTGTGTGTGTGTGTGTGTGTGTGTGTGTGTGTGTGTGTGTGTGTGTGTGTGTGTGTGTGTGTGTGTGTGTGTGTGTGCGTGCGTGCGTGCTTGTGCGTGTGTGTGTGTATGGTGGGTGCAGGTGATATTCCCAGACACCCTCAGAGACACACCTGTGTGTACCAAGGTGACACACCGCCCTACACTGGCCTGCCACCACTGCTGGCCTGCCACTCATGCTGGCCTGCCACCATTTCTGGCCTGTCACCCCTACTGGATAACACTGCAAGGATAACGTGAGAGAGGCAGGCTGTGGCAGAGTGCCAGCCAGGGTTATATAAGTCTTAGTGAAGGTGTTGTTGACAATGAGGCACTGATGCTCACACTGTCCGCTTACACCACTATTAGTGATGCAGCCACTTGCACCACTACTGGTGTGATGCAGTCACTCTGAGACTGCAATGTTAGTGTAGTGTATAAGTGTACGGCAGACCGAAGGTGTGTGTGTTTGTGTGTGTGTGTACTCACCTAGTTGAGGTTGCAGGGTTCGAGTCCAAGTTCCTGTGTGTGTGTGTGTGTGTGTGTGTGTGTGTGTGTGTGTGTGTGTGTGTGTGTGTGTGTGTGTGTAGGTGGGTGGAGCACACACAGTGACTCAGCGTACTCTCAGCACAACTCTTTGCATCGTGTTATATGATAGAAGCTAGTGGTGGTAGCTGTTAAATTGTGGTGATTGAAGTAGTAGTTGCCAGGAAATGGTGGTAGCAGTGAAGGGCTGGTGAGAGGAAAGACATGTTGGTAGTAGTGGTGAAGCGGTGGTGGTGGTGGTGGTGGTTGTCAGGAACCCATGGTTGCAGTGAAGAGGTGGCAAGAAGGATGTGATTGTGACACCAGCAAATGTTGGCAGACTGAGGGATGTGGTAGTGATGTGTGTGTACTCACCTAATTGTGGTTGCAGGGGTCGAGACTCAGCTCCTGGCCCCGAAAATGTGTGTGTGTGTGTGTGTGTGTGTGTGTGTGTGTGTGTGTGTGTGTGTGTGACTCGACCTTGGCTAACCCTCGCTCTCTCACCACTACCACCACCGCCAAACACCCGCAATTCGCAACATTAAACCCAATGTGGTGTGGGAATATTGCAAGCAACGTTGTGCTCTTGTTTGTTTCAACTAGCGTTTAGTGTTTCCTCCCAGATTTGGGCCCAGCATGTACGTAAATACACCTAGAAATGTTGACAGTGGTGGACGACTCCAAGTGAAAACTCACACCAGCACGCCCCTGGTGTGTCCACCGACATTACTGACGCCTTTACCAAGTGGTGGTGAGCCCCAGGCAGGTAGGTACACGTGTGTGTGTGTGTGTGTGTGTGTGTGTGTGTGTGTGTGTGTGTGTGTGTGTGTGTGTGTGTGTGTTCACCTAGTTGTTTTGCAGAGGTCGAGTCACAGTTCCTGGCCCCGCCTCTTCACTGGTCACTACCAGGTCACTCTTCCTGCTCCATGAGCTTTATCGTACCTCTTCTTAAAGCTGTGTATGGATCCTGCCTCCAGTACATCACTTCCCAGACTGTTCCACTTCCTGACTACTCTGTGACTGAAGAAATACTTCCAAATATCCCTGTGATTCATTTGAGCCTTCAACTTCCAACTGTGTCCCTTTGTTGCTGTGTCCCATCTCTGGAACATCCTATGTCCACCTTGTCAATTCCTCTCAGTATTTTATGTCGTTATCATAATCCCCCCTATCTTTTCTCTCCTCCAGTGTCATCAGGTCTATTTCCCTTAACCTCTCCTCGTAGGACATGCCCCTTAGCTACGGGAGTAGTCTTGTTGCAAACCTTTGCACTTTCTCTAATTTCCTTACATGCTTGGCTAGGTGTGGGTTCCAAACTGGTGCTGGATACTCCAGTATAGGCCTGACATACACGGTGTACAGGGTCCTGGACGATTCCTTATTGAGATGTCTGAATACTATTCTTAGGTTTGCTAGGCGCCTATATGCTGCAGCAGTTATTTGGTTGATGTGCGCCTCAGGAGATGTGCCCGGTGTTACACTCACCCCAAGATCCTTTCCCTTGAATGAGGTTTGTAGTCTCTGGCTCCCTAGACTGTATTCAGTTTAGGGTCGTCTTTGCCCTTCCCCAGTCTTCATGACTTAGCACTTGGTGGGGTTGAACTCCACGAGCAAGTTTCTGGACCAGGCCTGTCCAGATCCCTTTGTAGTTCCGCCTGGTCCTCGTCCGATTGAATTCTCATCAACTTCACATCATCTGCAAACAGGGACACTTCGGAGTCTGTTCCTTCTGTCATGTCGTTCACATATACCAGAAACAGCACCGGTCCTAAGACTGACCCCTGTGGAACCTCGCTCGTCACAGGCGCCCACTCTGACTCCTCGTCACGTACCATGACTCGCTGCTGTCTTCCCGACAGGTATTCCCTGATTCATTGTAGTGCCTTCCCTGTTATCCCTGCCTGGTCCTCCAGCTTTTGCACTAATCTCTGGTGTGGAACTGTGTCAAAAGCCTTCTTACAGTGTGTGTGTGTGTGTGTGTGTGTGTGTGTGTGTGTACTCACCTAGTTGAGGTTGCAGGGGTCGAGTCTGAGCTCCTGGCCCCGATGTGTGTGTGTAATGAATAGTCATGTCTTTGTACTCACCTTTTCATGGTTGCAAGGGTCGATTCTCATCTTTTGGCGGTTCCTCAAACTGGCCGCTGGTAGGTCTCTGTCTCTCTCTCTGTCTCTCTGTCTCTCTGTCTCTCTGTCTCTCTCTGTCTCTCTCTGTCTCTCTCTCTGTCTCTCTCTCTGTCTCTCTCTCTGTCTCTGTCTCTCTCTGTCTCTCTCTGTCTCTCTCTGTCTCTCTCTCTCTCTCTCTCTCTCTCTCTCTCTCTCTCTCTCTCTCTCTCTCTCTCTCTCTCTCTCTCCCCTTCTCTGGCTTTGTGAGCTCTATCTTGCCTGTGGTTGACGTTATGCATAGATCCTGCTCTTACCACTTGGCTGTCCAGGTTGTTCCACTTCCTGAACACCCTGAGACTGAAGAACTAATATCCCCGTGACTCATCTCTTGTTTTTTTTAACTTCCATTTGTGTATCTGCTTCTCTCTTCATGTCTTTCCTGGTCCTTGTGTTACCTAATGTCATCGGATTCAGCTCCTTCAATCTCTCTTCATAGCTCATATTCTTGGGTTCTGGCACTAGGTTCGTTGCCGCCTCCACTTTTCTCAGTTCCATACTCCATTTTCATATTGTTGGATCCATACTGGTGCTGTATACTTCAAGCTGGTTCCGACACGTGTCGTAAACTCTTTGTTTAAGTTCTTGAAAACTAATGTTAGATTTGCCAGACGCGCATTTACTGCAGAGGTTAGTGTTGATGTTCACCTCGGGCGATATACTCCTTACTGTGCTCACCCATAGATCTTCCTTGAGTGAGGTTTGCAACCTTGTTCCCTGAACCTGTACTCAATTTCTGTTTTTTGTGCCCTTCCCCAATTTTTATAACCGCTTATTTGCTGGGGTCACTTCCAAAAACCACTGTCACACCAATACTGCAGCTTGTTCAGGTCCTGTTTTTATTTTCCTTATTAGTTTCACATCATCTGCGAGCATGGATATACCAGACTGTTCCTTCTGGCCTGTTGTTCTCATAAGCCAGAAATAGTGCAGGTCTCAGTAATAATCTTTGTGAAACTACTTGTCACACTTGCTCATTCTGATATCTCTTCCTGAACTGTCACTATTTTTCTTCCTGTTGGGAATTTTTTGATCCAGTGAATTGCATTCCCTGTTATTCCTGCTTCCTGCTCTAGCTTATACGTCGGATTCTTGTGTGGTACTGTGTCACACGCATTTCTATAATCCAACAACATACTCTTCACCCATCTCTCTCTCTTGCCTAACTTCTGGTACCTTGTTATAAAACTGAATAAGGTTTGTGAGACAGAATTTACTATTTCCACAAACCTTGCTGGTTGTGTATGATCCACCACTCTTGATTAACCTCTCCATAACCTTACATAATATGCTTGTCACTCACACTGGTGTGTAGTTTAATGTTACCTGTCTGTCCCCTTTCTTAAATAATGAGATTTGGCTGTCTTCCAACCAGTGGCGGACCTACATTTTTGGGGCCCTGAAGCCTGAACTGTTATAGGTGCCCCTTCGCAACACCTCATACAGTAGACCCAAGTAGGCCCCTCCGGAATTAGGGACCCTGAAACTCAAGCTTCATTAGTTTCATAGTAGATCCGCCCCTGTTTCCAACACCTCTGGTAGTTTCCCTGTATCATTTGAGTTTGATGAATAAGACACATATGCGACAGTTGGGATTCTGTTGTTGTAACTGCATGACAGCCATTTAATTGTGTCAAGGCACACGTAATTGTACTGCAAAATTCACAGACGTGCATAGAGGCAACATCTACTCGACTAGTCATGTACTGCACAACTTTAAAAGACGCTGTACTGAAGCACGACTTGCATCATCAGTCTGCGTCAGCACCAGCACCAACACCCTGAACAGTATTGTCAATGGGTATTTACACCGGCCAGATATGAGAGGGGAAAATAGTACGATATGGGACCCCTCTTGCCACCTCCATTCCTGCTGTGAACGATCTCTACACCAAGACACCGAGGGTAGAATCAAGAAGACCCAGGTCACCTGCCACCTCCTGCTTCCTGGGATCCTGCGCCTGTTGCGTCCGGTGATCTGTCTGCAGTATTCAACCTGCCACGATTGCTCCGCGGCTAGCTAAACCTCAGGCCCTTTCTTTCCAACGGAAGAGTCTTCTATCAAGAGTTTCTTTTTCGCCTGTTCCCACTTCAAGGCTCGCCCTCATGGGATCTTTCCTGTCAGTACCTGTATATGTGTCTCTGGGGACCACAAAAGGTGTTGATCTTCACGGAGAAAATTAAAAAATTCAGTGTCGTATATTTATGAGAGCACCTCATGGTCGCATGTAACACAATTACTCCTAATACCATTAACCCTGTACTTGATGACTGGTTATAAATCGGTAATAATAGCGGACACAATGAGCACATTCTAAGAATAAAAGCTTTCATTAGTTTTTTTTTTTTTAAGTTTTCTCCATGGTTCTATACTGTTATGATCACGTCCGCTCTTGTTCTTCGCTTCTCCAGTGAGTTCAGGTCTATTTCTTACATTCTTCGTATCTCAGTTCCTTCAGCTCATACACCAGGCTTGATGCTCTCCTTTTCACTCTCTTAAGTTTCACTATGTCTTACAGTGTGTGGGCTCCACACCGGAACTTTATAATCAAGAATGGGTGGCACCTATGAGATGTAAAGTGTTTTAAACCAGTCTTTGTCTAGGTTCTTTAAAGTCACTTACTCCGTGTTTGCAAGCTGAGCCTGTGCTGCTGTTGCTGCTGCTGCTGTTCTGTACACATATGCAGGAGACAGGTTTAGGGTAATAGTTATTGCTAAGTACTTTTTTCAACTTTCTTTGAGCTTTCCTTCTCCTTTCCCCCACATTATTCTGTGTTTTTCACCGCCTTTCCTGGCTTCAGCTTTATAACCTTCCTTTTGCTAAGCTTAAATGCCATTAACAATTTAGTGACTTTTTGTAAAGTCTGCCTATGTCTTCTTCCAATTTTCTTTCATACTCTTCAGTTTATTGAATATTCTTATTACTTTGACGTCGTAGAAACAAGGACACACGGGAGCTAATTCCTGTAAACAGTATTGAGCACAACACTGATCCTTGTGGGACTCCATTGGTTACGCTCCCATCCCGATGAATCATCCCGTATAGTGACTTTCTACTGTTCAACTCCTCTCAAGGGAGGTTCCTTGACGCTGGTGAGGGGCTCTTGATTTAGGGAATTGGATCTGTGCTCCAGTTCCCTGAATTGAACCTGAATACCTTCCATCCCCCCCCACCACAGGCGCTGTATAATCCCCACGGGTTTAGCGCTCCCCGTGATTATAATTATAATACTGTTCAACTGTTCCCATTCCTACATTAATACTTTTCTTTTAACTCCCCTGCACGCTTCTGTACTTTGCTAAGTAGTCTTATATGTGGCAGTGTATGTTAATCCTTCTTACGGTTTACAAATATACACTCCGACAATCATAAGTCTCCCGTTTTTTTATATTTTCGTTAATTTCGGGAAATTATACGGAAATATAGTTTCATATACGTCAATTTAACCTTACCGAAAATTGTTGAAAATTCCGTGCCATTTATAGTGTGTAGAAATACACGCATGCCAATTTATGTGACACTGGTTGTTCTAACTGGTGACCTGGCTGCTCTAACTGGTGACCTGGCTGCTCTAACTGGTGACCTGGCTGCTCTAACTGGTGAACTTGGCCAGGACTCGACCCTGCATGGGAACGCAGGGTCGAGTCTTGGTCAAGCCGCAGTTATGTTAATGATTCAAAATCACTTTTTTTGTGATTTCATTGAGATATACACACACACACACACACACACACACACACACACACACACACACACACACACACACACACACACACACACACATATATATATATGAAATATAGTTGTGTGTGTATCTACATCGCTTTCCTGCACAAGGTTCAGTCTTGCCAGATTATTTCCCTTTACCTTCGTCGCTTATTTAACACGTTAGTTTAGGCAATTTCGCATTACACCTTCAAGCAGTTTGCTGCTCCATGTGTCTGGATTTTTCCCAGGTGATATTACTGCGGTTTAAGTCATGCTTTCTCATATTTCTCTTCCACATAATTAATGTTATTTTATATTGCTGCATTATTTCTGTCATTGTTTAGTATTACTACGTCTTTTTCATATTGTGATCTGTCTTTTTTCTTTATTTGATGCTGGGCTGTTGATGTCAGTGATAAATGCTTGAGGATCTTCGGTACTAACTGAATTAGCTATATGATCAGAGGACTCATCACAGCATGTACTCATCACAGCATGTACTCATCACTTCTAATCTTATCTTGATTTTAATTTGATTAATGATATATAACACTGATAGTTAATGAACAAAACAAGTGCAACACTTGGTTATGTTTATTAAGAGACGTTTCGCCCACTAGGAACTTTATTAATCTAATACAGAGACTTGAGAAAGGAGGCTTGTAAATTGCTTATGCTTCCCTCTCATATTCCATCACGCAGGATGGCGCTTATACAGTGTTGATATGTATTAGGTTGAGCTGGGAGACTTTAGTAGGGTAATGAGGATACCGTCAAGTATTCCAGCAAGCGTTCATCAGCTGCGGCAGCTTCGAACGTTGCCTTCCACCATACTGGAATTACTGTCACTTACGAATTGCCATCACTCAGAATAGTCGGTAGTAGTAGTAGTAACAAGCGTGGGGGAGGAGTGGAAGCAGTCCAAGTTGATGCATCATGAAGCAGTAATAATAGTATACCTGGAGGGGGTTTTGGGGGTCAACGCCCCCGC